ATGTCTTTGCTTATGCTGGGCCTTCTTCCTGAAATGCCCTTCTATGTATGCAAATCTTCACCAAGGTGAAATTCTAAGTGCTATATTTCCTGAAGCTCTAGTTTATGAATTAATATGATCTTTCCCTCTTGGACCCTTTAGCATTTTGTTTATAATGCTATTATCCCTTATTATTTCAATCTCATTTGTGCATTTTAAAGACCTTTAAAAAAACTGCCACTGAATTTTTCATGCAGTAGGTGCTCGAGATTAATTGAATTACAATTAAATTGTTTAAATCAGTTTGCTTGTTTTCTACAAAATGAAGAGGTTCAAATAATTATATTTATTCTTCTCTATATGTTATCAAATGCAGCATAGATATAGGGCAGCACTATTTTCATATTTTCTTTTCTTTCCAGTGAATGTGTATCTTTCATTCTGATCAATTTTGCTCTATCCATTTGTAAGCAAACTTCTATAAAAATGCCAAAAAATGAGATTTTTATTTAAATTAATAGAACAATTTAACAGCTTTTAGATATCAAGCATTTTCATTCTCTTATAACAAACCAGCTACACTTTTCAATGACATTTAAATGCATTCATATTTGAACAGTAGTTAAAAAGTTCAATAGATTGACATTATATTAAACTTTCATCTACTATTAAATTTAACAAATGTTTACCATGTTTCTACAGTGTGTAGGACACTCTTTGTTAAGATTTTGAGAATAAATGTTATACATAATTCCTTAAGGAAGTGAATATTAAGAAATACAGTTAGGCCGGGGATATAGTTCAGTGGTTTGGTGCTTGCCTAGAATGCTTGAGGGTCTAGATTCAATTGGCAGCACTTCAGAGAAAAATAAATGTGGACAGAACAACTAGCATATTAAAGCGGACTATGGTATAAGCCTCAGACAAGATATGAGGTGCTGCAAAAATATCCAATGAAAAAAGATGTTTCATCTTTTGGAGAACTCATTAGAACATTTGTTTTTCATTTCCTATATCAATTTTGCTAGTATACTGATAAAAAGATTCATTACTTGGCCAAAGTTTAGTCAGGTTTCTGAATCTTCTGCTAGTCTCATCTGTGTGTTTCCTTGTAAAATCCTATTTTAGCAAAAAAGTATTGCTAAGTCAGTGTAGCAAAAACTCCCTCATCCTTCACCATCACCCAGATACATATCATCCTGGCCTATCTTCAGCAAGAATTCTGTTAAGTCGGTTTAGTCAAAATTTTTCTTACTCCTCATGTTTCCTCTTAGTAATTTTCCATCCATTGACCCCCACTCTGCTCTGCGGCTAAAAATTGTCCCTTACCCATGCTATATTCAGAGTTGAGCCCAATCTCTCTCCCACACTGCAAAACATTGTTACAGTGGTCCCTGTAACTATTGTGAAGGCCCCGAATTAAGTGTTCCTTAATCTTGCTTAAACATATCTTTGAATAATTTTTACCACTGTTAATTTTACAACAATTTACAACAATTTATTGTTGTAGGTATGGTAGTTTTAGAAAAGTATGTGAAAAATGGTTTTTAAAAATATAATGAAAATTAAAGTAGTGGAAATTTAAAATAAATGTACACAAAATTTAACATTATAATTTTATCATAGATTTTAAAGAATAAAGTACCTAAATCTCACATCACATGTGGTGGATTAACTGGTGGTCAACTTGGAATGCCCAGCTGAACTAAGTCCGCAGGGTGTGAAAGACCCACTTGAGAACTGTTGCCAATGGCATGAAAGGAGAATGGAGGGGAAGACTGTATGTAGTTGATTTTCCTGGAGAAGCTTCCCGCGGCTGGTTTTCCTAATATGAACTCGGCTGTTCTCATCGTCAGAGGAGCTCAGGTCCTCGCTTTCGCTGAGGGTGGCTACTGTTGTCAGGGGAGCTCTCATCTTCACCTTGAGCATCGCTTCCAGACTCCAGTGTAGATCCCTCAGCCTGGTGGCACAGATCCTTCACGCAACTGGTGCAGACTTTCTAGCTTCCACCACTGGCCTTTGGGCCTTCTCAGTGCAGATCCTTGATACAGACTTGTGTGAGACATTGCCTTCGGCTCTAGGCCTCTGGCTGGACTTGTGCAGGACATTGCTATGGGATTCAGGCCCTTGGCTGGATTCTTTAGATCTCAAGTGCATGGACAGATCTCTTGCACTCCTCTGCATTTCTTTTTTGAGTGAATATTATAAAATAATCCTGTTTGTGTCCTGTATTAAATCTATTCTTTTGCAAACCCTAACACACACAAAATTATTTTTATTTTCCCTATGTTCTAGATTGTTAACTATTTGTATGTGTCAAAGGCATGCAGTTCTGTGTATAGCTACTTTTCTGTAATGTGTGACAAGCAGAATATCTTTTTTGTAGTATGGGCATTAGCATTTGGTGAAGTTTATTCTGACTGTGGTCTATGAGATATAAATATACTTCCTACTTAGATTACATAAGCTGAGTTTCTTAGAATGGAAAATTAGAGATGCAGAAGACAACATCAACATTTATTTCACAGGATAGGCAAGAGGATTAAATGAAATAATCTGTGAAAGGTGTTCAATCAAGCTGCTGTGCTAGGTAAGGGTTCTGGAAATCATCTTATTTATACTACCTTCTCTCACTTTTTCCCCTGTCATGAATATACATTAGATTTTATGATATTGGTCTTAAACACCAGGAAACAAACTTCAAAGAGAGGAATACAGACAAATTACACAGAATTTTCCAGAAAACAAAGATTAACAAATATAAGCTTTCTGATGTCTAGCCCTGTCCTGGTTCTGCTGCTTTGAGAATCACTGGAGATATGACATTCAAAATTTTTTGTATTACTTTTTAAAAATTTAGATTTCCATTCCAATATCATTCTCCTTTAATTTTTTCATTAGTGATCATAGTTATGATAGCTGTTTGTCTTTGTTTGATAATTCTAATATCTAGGTCACCTTGGAGTAGGTCTTTGTTGTTTTTCTTTAAAACAGAATTGTATTATTCTGCTTCATTATGTTTGTGTAACAGTGAATTTTATCCTGAATATTGTCATTTTGTGGTGGAGACTCTGAATTTTGGTATATTCCAATAAAGAGTGTTAATTTCAGCAGGCAAATTATTTAGATTCAAACTTCAAACTATCTTGATTGGTAGATAAAATGGTGATTCTGTTGATTTCTCTTCAGGTGCTCTGTTTAGCTTGTTTCATGCATGATGGTTCAGGAGACAGTCACTGATACAGGCAGAGTTATAGACATTGGGGTTCTCCATTTCTGAGTATCTCCTTTTTTGAGATTTCTCAGTAGGTGGGCTTTCCAAAACTGTTGGGTTTTAGGACCGGAACGATTTTGGGGTTTATTACAGCTTTGGTCAGTGTATTTTTGTTCTATTTTCAGGATAAATGCCATAAGAAATAGGAAAGCATCTCCAGTAGTTTCCTAATTTTACAACTTTTAAGAATCCACCTGCTATAATTCACAGTTTAGTATCATTTTTGATTTAATTCAGAATTTAAAGTTATCTGTGAAAGGGTTGGATTCAGTTGGAGGTAACTAGAACACAATAGACATAAAAACTCCTCTGAAATTTTGTTAAAACTCAAGTTTAGAAGAATGCTGTCTTTTAAATATACCTCTTCATAAATATTACTTTTATAGTCTGAATCTCAATATTCCACTAAAACACACCTGAAGTTATATAAGGGTTTGTCATACACCTTGCACTTAAACAAGAGTTTAGAACAAGAGTTTAGAAACAAGAGTGTTTTATGTATCTTTCTGATCTTTTGGTGTTTAAATTTTTTTCATATAAATCCTGTACATTTTTATTCGATAAGGATACAAATTTATCATATTAAAATCTATCATGTTTCAGTTTATCATATTTCCTTATAATTAAGTTGCACATTTTTGGAGATCAGACTTCTGGAAGTCCTTTTTGCACCAGGCTTTCTCTTTGCTGCAGGAGTTTTTTTTTTGCAGTTTCCTTCTTAATGAATAATCTGTGTACTTCACAACAGGTCAGCTGAGACTGTCAACTGTCCAGTTCCATGCCTGATCTGTTTAGTAGATATGATACCCTGTTGAGTTTTTTGGATCAAGATCATTGACATTAGGTTGATTCTACTTTTATCTTCTCAGTGAAGACTTAAAACACATATAAGACTTAAAACTATGCTCTTTTTGCTGGTCATTTCATATATTAACTTCTGTAACTTTTCATGGATAATTTAGTGGGAGAATGGAATAGACATGAAGCAGTCTTCCCTTCCACCTTTTGCAAAATACATTGAACTAAGTCTGAAAAGTATTTCCCACAAATATGTAGAAATACCTTAACAATGATGTTTTTATTTTCTTTTGGAAAATATTTATCTAGATCACACTTAGAAAAAAAAGTAGGAAGGGTAAAATAAAACTGAATATATATATATACACACACATTTGTCTGTGTGTATGTATGATTTTCATCACTGTGACAAAATAGCTGAGAAATTAAACTTTAAAGGAGAAAAGATTTGCTTATTTCATGATAGGCAGGAAATAGAAAGAAACCTGCTGGTTTCTGATAGCTCCTTCAAAGCCACACTTATAACCTCTGTTACTTCTTCTTATAGGCCCTACCCCCAAAAGGGTCAGCCATGACTAACCCTAGAACACATGGTTCACTTGGGGACATTTCAGGCAAAAATTATAGCAATACATTAAGATTTTTGATTCTGACTTATTTTTTAAATAGATGTTAAAAATCAAGATTAGAAAAATATAAATTAACTTCTTTTTTAAAAAGTATGCATGCAACCTCTTCATAAATATTACTTTTATAGTCTGATTCTCAATAATGTTCCACTAAAACACACCTGAAGTTGTATAAGGATTTGTCATATACCTTGCACTTAATAGGAATTTGTTAAACAGAATAAAATACTTTTTCATAAAGTATATTTTTATATCTAAATTTTTTATTTAATATTAAAAATACTTGCAATTATATATTACAAATAGTGGTAGTACCTGAACAAATTATTCATTATACAGTCCTTATTTTATGGTGATACCAGTTCTTTCCTAAAAAAATAAATCACTGGTTCCTCAAAGAAGTTACAAGAGATCAAGAGCATACTAAGGATACTATATTGTCATTACTACATGCATTAAATATACATTATAAATGGAATATGCTGTACACCTGATGAAGAGTGTATTCATTAAGGTAAAAGGAAAAAACAGCCATAGAATGAAAAGATGACACACCTAAAAAATAAAGTTTTCAAATCCTATAATAATTTTACATGTGCCACAGATATTCTACAACTTTCCTACTTTACAAAGGGGAGGGATAAACAGTTTGAAGAGATTAAATGCCAGATATTCTATAGAAAGAGAAAATACTAGCATCCTGGAATAATTTTTATCCCTGGCCCATTTTCTGCCCACTGGAAAAAATTGCACTGTTTTTCCTTCTCAAAAGGACACACAAAAAAATTCTTTCCATTATTAGGTCCAATCTTCAACACTGTTCTCATGATAGAGCGCTTGCCATGGTTGCAGAAAGGGAACGACAAATCGGCCCACTAGGAGAAAAGAAAAGATAGAATTGTAAAACTTACATGGAAGTTACAGTGATGTACAGACTAAGCATAGGCTGGTTTGGTTGGTATCATATTGTCTTCACTGCTGCTGTTATTAATTTGACATTGTAAAACAGACACGAGCCATTAGTTGTTGCTCTTTAAAAAAAGTTTATTTCTTAAAAGCATCCTTTACTAATTTGTTTGAATCACACAAAGAATTGTCATAATTCTGAGTTTTCCTTTATCTAAAGGCATATTTATAAAAGTTCCTTCTCTTTATTACGACGAATAAGTGAAAACTACCAGAACCTTACTATAAAGTAATCACCAGTGTCCCTGCTATAGGTTTGTTTTAGTTAAAATGATAAGATCAAAGATTTGTTCTAACTTTTAACACTAAGCTTCCTTAGTCTCTTAGGCAAAGAAAGAATCCAATAAGGACTTACTCAATCAGGGTAAGTCAGGAAGATTCTACTCTATTATTCTCATTCCTATTAATTTTAACCTCAAGACAGGTGTGAAAGAAGCTGCTATATTATTAGTAATATATAAAATTTCTTTCATTCTATCTGTACTTTTTATGAATTCAGTAAGACAGTCACATCTTGTTTAAGATAGAGATCTAAAATCACTAAGTCTTCCCTGGGAAATTCCTTAAAAAGATATGATGAAAAAGAGATATTTCATCTCACGGCCCAATCTGAAAAATTTTGCTCCAACACGAAAATAGATCAGTATCTTCTTTGTTCATTTAAATATCACATGAATTGAACTTGGAAAAATGCGTACTTTAAACATTAGACTCACACTCAGTATGGTGACATGTTTATACTCTCAAGAAAGTGTAGAAAATGAGATTGACTAAAAGGATCCAGATTCTTGTCTCCTATATCAGATTTGAATTTAGTGACACACCCATAGACTGGAAGGCAAAAGGAATCTCCTATAGCTAAATTTGGTCAAGCTTGTATAGTAGGATTCACTAAGGTTATTGTAAATCCAAGGCATACCTTGTTTTTCTCATGTACCTCTCTCTACCCATTGTATAAAACAAAACTTTTGATGTAGCACTGAATTGAGAGTAACAAATTCTTATTTTAGATTATTAACCATATGAGTATTACTAGTACGTGTTACCCACTCAATACCTATCTTTATGATCTATGAGGAACATTTTTACAAATATGTTAATCTGTGATTGCAAATATGATATACTCTAATAGTCTAATGGCTACTATTTTATCATAATTACTGTTTTGCCAAAGCTCTTTGAATTCTAAGTTATTCAACATTCAAGATCTAACATGTAAAGGTAAAACTGAGAAAGTATTGCTATTTGTTACATTTTAACAGCCAAAATTCAGTTACCCCAGAGCAGGCTTGATAAACCTTATACATACTTTGAAAAATCCACATTGTGCTTCTCTAGGTAGTGGACAAGCGTAAAACCGCCTTCCTTTGTTTTCACCATCCTTCCTCACAACCCGGACAACACAGAGGCGGCTGTGCTTACTGCATCGAGGACTGCCAGCATTTAAGGTGCAAGGACTGTCTGCAACACTCAGTTGAGGTTCACTGGAAGGACAGGTTACAAAATAACCGTAGCACAAGTGTTAAAGAGTCATTTATACCACTTCACCTCGGCACACATGAATTTTGCTCATAGGAAGAAATTTTATCAAGAAGTTGGCCATGGTCAACTTTAGTAACTACATAACTATTGTCATTTTAGTTCTTTCTTTTCTTCTTCTTTTTTTTTTGGTACCAGGGATCAAACTCAGGACCTTATGCTTGTGAGGCAGGCGCAGTGCCACTGAGCTAAATCCCCGGCCCTTAGTTCTTTCTTTTAATTCAAATCTACCTATAAACTTAAAGTACATAACTTAACATTTCTAAAGAATAGAAACAGCTGAATTGGGTATCCAGTACATCAAATTTTCAAAGTTTTAATTTCTTATACTGAGTTCTTCTTTTACCTAATGTTACAATGTAGTCACTTCTATCTCCTCTAAAATATTTCCAAGTCTAGCTGTCCCCTGCTCCATACAGCAACTAGAATCGCAGTGCTCTCTAATTATTTTCTCATGTGTAGAAACTCTGACAAGACCGTGGAGATCACTCTCTCCACTGTCCACTTAAAAGACTATTCTCTAAGCTTTTCTTTGATCAAGGCTACCAAAACAGTCAGCAGCGAGAAACAGCTTTCCCGGAGGAGCAGAAATGTGTATTTTGGAAACCCAGTAGAATAGCTTTATCTCCCACACAATTAGAATCAAGAGCACTCGGAGATCATCCTGCAGAGTGAACAAAGCACAGGAGATGGTCTTGCACTCTAGTTGCATATGAAGCTTCATTATTGTTTTTATGTATTTTGTATAATTTCAGTATTGTTTTTATAATAGACTTCTAGTAACTTAGTCGGCATATTCACATTAATTAAAAGTGGGGACTGGTAGAGTAGCTCAGTGGTAGAGCCCATGGCATGTGCTTAGCCCGCTCAAGGCCCTGTGTTGGATCCTCAGCACCCAAACTCAAAATAAACAAACAAAAACAACAACAAACAAACTCAGAACCCTCTCACTAATATTCCTATTTTTAAACGTTTTAATGATAAAATAGGTCATCCTTTCTCAGGTTTGAGGAAATTTCTAAAGAATAAAATATCCCTCAGAAATAATTTTTTTAATTTTTTTTTTTTTTTTTTTTGGTACCGGGGATTGAACTCAGATCCTTCATCCTTCCACTTGCAAGGCAGGCGGCGGAACCACTGAGCTAAATCCCTGGCCCAGAAATAAATTTTTAAATGCTTAAAAATCAAGCATATTTTTCCTTGCTTCTTGAACTACATTTTTCAGAATACTTTTTTCCTATAATGATGCCTCATATGTAACTGAAATCTCCAGATAATGTGATCTTTTGTGGTGAAATTGGTTTAAGCTTGCTTATATAAAACAAATGATTAAATATATTGCTTTAAAAATGTTGGCTGGGATGGACTTAAACATTCTTAGGGCAGTTCCTGAAGCTATTGATAGTTGTCATTTATAAAATAAAAGCAGCTGTAGGCACTGCTAATGAGATCACTTAAACATTTCACTAGCAACTATTTTGTTGGTAGCTCTTTCAGATGGAGGATGGCAGTAGAGTCATGGGTAATACCAAATCCAAAATATGAAAGCTGAGAAGCAATGAGATTTTCTTTTCCACAACCCTCCTTTTCACTAGCTGCCTCCAAGAGGCAATATTAAAACCTCAGCTTCAAGAGAAGTTAAACATCTGGGTGGCTGTAGAGAAGTAAAGAGATTTCAAAACTGAAGTGTTTCATATACAACGTTCAAAGACAGTTTAAAGGAGAAAGCAGTTAATATTAGAAGTAAATCAAACAAGGCTAATTAAAAATATACACTTATAAAATTGTTTTCTATATTATTTTAAAGGTGGCTGTATTTGGCAACCATTAGTTCAACATGTTCTAACCCACTTGCTGCAACCTGGACATCTTCAGGTTTCCACACATCTAGATTCTTTATTACTGTTTCTGAGCGGGGGGAAAAGTAGAAAATAGGATTAAAGCAAAAGGAAAGACTCCAGTTGTCTTCCTTCTAGTTCATTTCTATCTTCCATTCTGTTTCTACCTCGGTGTAAGTCTAAACAAAAAACTTGTCCTATGCTCTTTAATCCTTGGTATCAGAGTGTGTTCCACCGAACAAAAACATCACTGTAACCCCAGAGCTCCTTACAAATACAGGTTTGTCCCTACTCCAGATCCCTATGAACAAAAGTCTCCATGTTAACAAGATTCCAAGGTGATTCATATGCACACTAAGTTGTGAAGCACTGAGTTAATTCTACCAAGATATTTGATGCCACCTATGATCACATCAGCTCTAAATATGTGCAACTAATCTTAATTTTATGATAGAAAACATTATCCAGGATAATTAAATGTTCTGGTTAATTGAGGACATATTGGCTCCTCTTCATTTCAGTCATTATTTGAAAACTTTGTAAAATGCAGCAGAGCATTTTCTTAAGTAAATTCTACATAGAGAATAAACTAGTTTGTTGATTAGTATCATTTTGAATATTGACTTATAAATGGCATAGTGATATAATAGATCAAGAGTTGGCAAACATTTTCAGGTAACACACATTTTAAGTTTGTGGGTCTCATGGTCTCTGTGGGAACTACTCAATTCTGTTGCTGGCAAAAAACAGCCATAAAAATAATCAAACAAATGGAAATAAAACTACACAAATAAATAGTTGTTAGGCTGGATTCGGCCCTTCTGGCTAAAGTTTGCCAGACGTCCTCATTAGAATCAAGAACAATGCTTGAGGCATAACAGGTTCTCAGTAAGTGCTTATTAATAAAGAAAATTAAACACATCAGATAAAAACTATCATCAAAAAGACAGTCTCGGCCCGGGATTTAGCTCAGTGTTGCCACCACCTGCCTTGCAAGCAGAAGGTCCCGAGTTCGATCTCAGGTACCAAAAAAAAAAAAAAAAAAAGTCTCAAGTACAGATTTATATTTTCAAAGTGAATCTTATTTTTACATTTTTAAATGATTAGCTTATCACAGTTTAACTATTTTGGAATTAGGATGATTCATTATAATAAAAATACTGTCTGGAATTTTTTGAATTAATCAATGCAATGGAATGTAGATTTTATCATCCAAGATAATTTCCATCATTAAACAAAAGAAGTTAAATGATTCATCCTAGATGTCCCACATGGTTCTGAAGGTCTGAGAGATTGGATTAAGAACTCCAAAAGGGTGACCCCAAAACAAGAATGAGGTGTCACTGTTGGGACTAGTGATTACAGGTAGACCTTCCACACTTCCAATGGCAGTGTATACAAGAAAATGCTAATGATTTTCATAGCATCCTTTCCCTCTTCTACATGAGGTTTGCCATCCACTTAGGAAAAAATTCAACATATACTTTCTTTGAACATATACTTTGAAAATGTATCACTGTTTGCTCTGTGTTTATCATAATTGGATCAAAGATTTAAAACTATTTTTAGTGGTTATTCTTAAGTGCTTAAAATTGCTTCATTTATCTAATTTATAATCCAGTAGCTGGATAACATTCAAGTGCATCTAAACACCAATCCAAAAATATGTCTCATCAACATAGCATGTATGGTGTAATGATGAGATCAGTAATTAAGAGAACAAAAGTCAAACTAATTACCCTATAATTATTACAGAAAAAAAATAAACTGGCTATCAATTCTGAGTGGACCACCTGCTTTAATAGTATTATGTCGAGCTTCTTCTAGGCGGCTTGTCCACAAGATGAACACTGTAGCTGCCAGACAAGGAGAAAAATGAAATAAATGACAGTAATTTGCAATTTATTTCTTGTGAAGTAGCTGGGTGCAGAAGGGCTGCTAGGTGAATTTATTTCATCACTTGACTTTTATTCTGCTAGTTGATCTTGATTAATTGTGGAGTCTCAGTCCTCGTGTTCTCATATTCAGTACATACACATGGCTGCAGCATTTCTAAGTAACACTGTGCACTGTGATTAATCATATGATTCTATCACTAATGGCTTATGAAGAAATCATTTAAATTTAAGGTTCCATTAATGTTTTTTAAATCCCTAATTCATTAATTAAATTGTCAGAGTTTTTTTTAAGGCACTAAGGAAATAAAAATATGCCAAGATATTTCATCTGGGTGCAACAAATGACACAATATTTTAAATTGATCACTTCCACTTCTTTTCACTTAAGTCAGAGAACAGAAAAGCTGTTCAAAAGTGATTTTCTCCTACAGGATAGTCACCTGAGACTTTCTTCAGTAGCTCCTTTATGATTTCCACCATAAGACACCAATTAGGGTTAAAGTAAAATGTTGTAGTTATCCAGTCACTTTAAAAGTTTGGTCCCCAGAGCTTAATCCAGATGAGATTGGACACATTCAGGGTGGTATGGCCACAGACCCCAGAGTTTAATCCAAATGGGAGTATCATGGACAGAAGTTAAATCAATTATCATAAATAATTATGAACAAAATATTTTGTAAAGTCAGTCAAGGATATGTCATCAAAATTAATTGATGGTAAATTAAGAGTTGGGACAGGAAATTGGAGAGAAATCCATATATTATGGAAAAACTGTCTCAGAATTGCTATGAAATAAGCCTAAGGATTCAGAGTTCTGTCTACGAGCATATAGCAGGTGTTCCCTCATTCCAGTTCCCAGTGAAGGACTCTCCCCATCAGTAAAGGAATAGCTCATCAGAGTAAAATCTACTCATTAGAATTCCACCTGATATTACTTTAGATTCTACCCAAAGTAACTCTGCCTATCTTTGATTGGCAAGAAAAGACATGTATCCGAATAAGATCCTTCATTCATATGTCATATACTCTTCATTTAAAAATGCTGGATAGATGGTACCTGGTTTTTGACCAAAAGAAAAATAGCTTCAGAAACAAAATCATAGAAAAATGTCTTTTTCTGATGTGGGGATAAAATCAGTTATGACGGTAAGAAGCCCAGATAAATGAATAAAAGGAAATGTGAGAAGGAGCATAAACTGATTGTTTCAGGAGCTCCCAACATTTGTTAATGAAAGGGATGACACCATCTTTACAATTTCTGCATCTCAGGTAACAGCAATTTGGGATCTTGTAGATATGCAACTGGTAATCAATCTTGTGAGCCATATTAGGCCTGGTAGAGTTTATTAAATGGAATTATAAGTTTTTCATTTCAGATACAAAAAGCTTTTTAGGACTTTTTGGTTGAAATTAGGGCACCATCCCACATGGCTGTTTGAGATGCAGTCATATTTGTTCATAGAAATATAACTAAAGTCATCTCAGATTTTTTTTAAAAATAGAGGACATTTACTAAAGTTTTATGAATGATAGCTTCTCTTTCAGAAGAAGAATGCCATTTACAAACGGTCTTTGACTTACAATGCTTAGTGATGCTTACTAAGTGATGCTTAGACTTTCTTAACTTTATCACGACTGTGAAAGTAATACGGCATTCAGTAGAAACTGTACTCCAAGTTTTTGAACTTTGATCTTTTTCTGGGCTGGTGATAAGCAGTATAATAATGTCTTTTGATACTAGGTATTGGCAGTGAATCTCAGCTACTTAATCATTGGAGAAAACATTCAATACTCTATAGTATGTTACAATGCTAACTTATGATGCTCAATAGGGTAGATGTATTAAATGCATTTTTCAACTTATGACACTTTCAACTTATGATAGGTTTAAAAAATGCTAATGGTGGTTACTGATAACAGGTATGATTATAGGTGATTTAAAATTTTCTTTATACTTGACAGTATTTTCCAAATATTATGTATTGAACATGTACATAGTTAACGTCACAAAAAATAACCTTTTATAGATGCAGGAAAATTTTCTTCCCTAGTCTCTAATATAATAAGCTGGCAAAGAGAAAGGAGAATTATTGTAATAGTTTTCAGGGTTTGTTTTATATTACCAAATCGATTCAATTTCCTTAGCAGTGGATGTTTCTGCCTTCTTCAAATTTATGTAACATAAATGCCTTAAAGGTCTTAAAAATACCTTGAAACAAGCTTATTGCAAATACCTTAAAGACCACGGTTAGAAGCATCATACCTGTTAGAAAATCCAGTCTTGCAACTTTTGAGGTCTGGCATAGAGTAGAGGGTTGTTTTCAGTTTTTTATGCACTGAACTAAATAATTCAGACTGAGAGCAGACTGTAGGAGATATGTTTACTTTGTTAGATACTTGAGTTATATAGTTCGTTCTCTCCTTGGAGGGGTGCCGTGTATCACTAAAACAAACATTTGTAGGAAGAGAGTTTTGAAATTCCCCATCTGGTGTTTGGATTTGGCTTTCTTTTCTCTTCAAAGTACTAGATTTACTGGTAAAATCAGTCAATACAAGAGTTGTAGTTCCAAATACAGTTTTCCTGTTGATTTTCACTTCTGTATGTGCTTTCCCAAAGCTATTACAAGGGTACTTCACTAAGTTGTGAAAGACAATAGAATTTTCTTGAGTCTCAAGCACTGAATCTGGAAGAAGAGAGAAGTTATTCTGCAATATTCCTAAAAATATATTAACTACTCAAAACATTTTTATTCTATCTATCTGTCTATCTACCTACCTACCTACCTATCTCTGTATCTACTAATGTACGGTTAGCTTGTTATAATTAATCATCTTCTAATAAGGAAGTAAAGTATTATTTAAAATGTAAAGGTTGACAATTTATACATATCTAGAGATGAGGTTAACAAAGACTTATATTTGCTTTGGATTATGTTTAAGCATTTAAAAGTTAATCAGCTATCAGTTTTGTTAATATTAGGCAAAGTATTAAAGTGATGCTAATTAAGAGATGATATCTCATAAAGCAGTTAGACATCTCTGTATTGACCACCAAGATGTTTTCATAAAGGGCTTATTTAAGAGAAGTAAAGATGAATTACAAAGACTTAATATTTATTAAATATAATGTTTTAACAAAATATCCTAGAATTCTAGAATCTGTACTATAGTTTAAACTACAGTGAAGATATGTGTCTTTCATACTCAAAGTATCTAAAAAACGATACATGGGACATGTAAAGGCATCTTGGAATGTTGAAATAAATGTGGAAACTGAAGATGGTGGTTTTTCTGAGGGCTCTTTCTGTTGAAAGTTCACAAAGAAGAAGAAGAAAACGAAATAGGAGGTGCAGTCCCTTTGGCCACTAGAAAAGCTGTGCAAGGGGTGATGTCTGCCACAAAGGCCCAGGGAACAAAACACAGTGAGACAGTGAACAAAATGTAGGGGCCCATAAGTCAAGAATGAACTTTCTCATCTCTAATTGAAGAAAGAAATAACACTTTGAGAACACAATAGAAGCTGCATCAATGAGCTGGTTTCTTAATCACAGGTTTCCTCTGAGGTTTTGCATTCTCTGAACGCATGAAATTGTGAGCTATAAAGAGTTATTTTGGAGGATTTCAATGAAATCAGTACAATTGTCTGAGTAGATTTTAATAACAAGGGGTAGGAAGGATAAAGAAGAGAAAAAATTCAGCATTTTTCAATTCCACCTGCAAAGATATTCTTACAGAAATCCTCCCTTTCAATTTATGAAACACTTGGACTGAATAACAAACTCAAAAGCTGCTGAAATCTGCATAAAACAAAGCTTTATTGAATAATTCATTAGAAACAGTAGAGAACAGATGCGATCATCTCAGTTTTTTGAGATACAAAGACACACACTGTTTTAGCACAAGCATGTTTTCCCTCCCCGTTAAAAAATATTTTCAACAGAATGCCAGCATGGTTTACATGCAAAGGCAAGCAATTCCTTTAAACCTTAGAGAAAGAAAGCACTTAGTAAAAGTATCAAGACAGAGCGATATACCTGATTTGGTATAATTAACCATCTTAGAAATGAATGCAAAATCAAAAATCAGTCCTACCTGGCTTTGAGGTCAAGCAAGCATCGCATGTCTCAGCAGAGGGCTTATTTACTAGGGTACAGACCAAACAGGTCCATTGCTCTTCTGATTTCCGACCCACTGAATCAATCAAACGGTTTCCCCTGCTAGATGTCCAATTGATTATAGTATTTCTAGAGGGAAGTTTGCTAGAAAATAATTTTTTAAATTAATCATTATGAATGACTTATTCTTATACATTCTGAGTATTTTAGAAACTATTGCAGAACCATTAATACCCCAATACTATTTAATATTGCTTATGTCATAACAAACTGTTAGATAACCTTTATCTTGAGTTCTGCTGACTGCTAGTAAGTTAGAAATAAATAAAAGTGTTGACTTGAAGAGCTGAGCTTTTTCAAACAAACTAAAAGCATTGGATGTAACCAGTAGGAAGCATTCTGCAAGTAATATTTTAATAGTACTCTTCAAAGCAAAATTAAACTATGATTCATCAACTAAATCAAGAAAAGCTATGCAGAAATCAGAACATTGAAAATAAAGTTAGAAAAGTTTTACATTATGTCCTCGAAAAGAAAATTCTAGAAACTTTAGCATTTATGGTATTTACCAAGCACTTATCAATTAGTTGAGCTATAGTGACGAAAAGAGATATTTATCTTCGTGCTAGTTCTCTTCATATAAAATTATTTCATATTTTCTAATCATTATTAGATATCTAATTATTAGGTTAGTAAGCAAACTATAAAACCAACCCTGATTTTTGGCCACAGATGTAAATCAATGGAGTTCTTCATTGGCCACTTATTGTTATACAGAATGCTTTTCTAGAGATCTGATACAGTCCTGCTTCCTAATGCACATGTGTAGGTCTGTAGAACACTTCATGTGGTTAAGCAATCATGGCCATGTTAGGATTCCTGTCATGATTCTAAGCCTTAATATTGAAAAAAGTTATTCTAAGTAAAGCTGCATATCTTACATTTCAGAACCTGAGTTCTTTGACTTTCAAAGGTAGCCTCGACTTCGGTAACATTTTGCTCCTTACATACAATTATACTGGTTTTAAAAGTCAGACTTGTCTGGTAAAATAACAAATAGTATAAGAAAATCTGAAAGATATATCTCATTACGATTCTCTTATCTTTACTTACCTTGACTTCTAATGAACTCAGAATTTTTTATTCCTATGGAACATCAGACCCATAGAATTTGTTTACCTGACCTAATTTCTGCCCTCTACTAACTAACTCTGAAAGGGAACATGCTGTATTTACTCAGGATTAAATAAACACAACTTAAATGACCTTCATATTTCAATTTGCTCCAACTTTTCACTATTTTCTTCCTCTTTTGTTTTATAGATGTCACTAATAAGCTTTATTATTGTTGTTCTTTTTCCAGCACTGGTGTTGAACCCAGGGTCTCATACATGCTAGTGAACCCCTCTACCATCACCTTTTAAAAATTATTATTTTTTTTTATTTTTGAGTTAGGGTCTTGCTAAGTTGTCCAGGCTGGCCTTGAACTTGTGATCCTCCTGCCTTAGCCTCTTGATTATCTGGGGTTTCACATGTATGACACTGTACCCCAGTCCACAGCTACTACTGTTGTTTCATAGGGAGTATTTGGAAGTACTTTCTTACTGTTGCATTTCTTAAAAGCCCACTAATACACTTTCCAATCTGCACTTGGATAAGTAACAGAAAACTCAAACTTAATATGCTGAAGTAGGCTGCACAATGGCCTCCTAATGATATAGGTGACAATTCCAGGAAACAATAAATTTGAGTTATTGCAGATGTAATTAAGGATCTTAACTATGGGAGATTTTTCCATATGGTCCCTTATTCTAATCACAAGTGTCTTTATAATGTAGGGAGAGATGATTTGATGCATACAGAAGAGAATATACTGTAAAAACAGAGGCAGAGGCTGGACTAATGGAACCACATGTCTAAGAATGTCAGAAGAGGCAAAGGATGGATTCTTTCCTAGCTTCAGAGAAAGTACATCCCTGAACACACCTTAATTTTGGTCCTTAACCCTACCTCAGCTTCCAAAAATAGCCCACACTCAATCACTTTTTGCCAGTCTGGCTCTTTTCCCTGCCACCATCATCTACTACCTGTGCTCCTGTTGGGAGTCCTGAAGCTGCTGCTTCTCTCCAGTTATATCGCAGTAATGTTCTCATATAATAGCTGGAATAATCCCCATAAAATACAAGACAGTTCATGCTCAAGCCTTCCCATGGTTTCCCATCTTTCTCAAAGTCAATACTTGCCACATTCGCTAGTGATTTTTCAAAATGTACAAGTACATGAGTTATTTCACACCTTTTCAAAACCCTCCATAGATCCCCATATTATACACAGAATAAAGTGGAGATTTCTTTCTGTGGCCAGCCTATCTCTACATAGTCTCTGGTTCATACCTGACTTCTGCTTAGTCAATTTTCTATCTCTTCCTTAGTCAAGTCAGAGGCTTCATGGTTTCTGAATTACCTTTTTGGAAAACTTTTTCCCACCTTAATCTTTAAAAGTTACCAGTTCTTTTCAGAAATCTGCTCAGGGACTTTATCTCCCTGCCCTATCTAAAATAGATGCTCTTTGTCACTTTTTTTTTTTGCCTACTGTGATTGCTATTTCTTGAGAGTACTGACCATTACCTATCATTGCCTAGTATCTTATATATTTTTTCTTAAGATCTGTTCCTATTGGAATATAGTAATCAATGAATATTCCATAGATATAGACATAATGAATGAGCTTTTCACCCATATTATTTATTAATACTGCTCTGTTGGTTTCTTTCATCTCTTTCACGGGCTGCTTTTCTTCTTCTTCTTTTTTTTTTTTTTCTGAGACAGGGTTTTGGTATATAGTTCAGGCTGGCCTTGAACTCACTATGTATCCCAGGCTGGCCTCGAACTCCTGCCAATCCTCCTGCCTCAGCCTCCCAAGTGCTGGGATTACAGGTGTGTGCCACCACACCTGACTGCTTTTTTTCTTTTGATCACCAAAGCTAACCTAGTTGAAAGACTCTATTGGATCTTCCTCCCTTTTCTCTATGCATACTCTCAGTGATTACAAATACTCTCAGATTCAACTGTTATCTCAGATTACCCTAAAGTGGGTAACAGGAGGGGAACAATGTACAAGTGAATGATAACAGTGTCTTTAAGGCATCTCTGCACTTCTTCAGAGAGACAAGTTACTAGTATGGAAAACAATATATTTTTCTTTGCCCCAAACCAGTGTGTGTTAACAATACTAAAATAATTTATTATCCCAAAGCTTGAGGTAGAAGCTTAAGCAAAAAGAAACATTTTCTCTTTCTCCTTACTCTATTTGTGGAGAGCCCAGGAAAAGTTACCTTCATGGCTTCCAGTCCGAGATTGGTTCCTACAGCTTTTCTGTTAATTCTGTGAATTACCCTGATATTCATTTGGCTGCATACCTCTTAAATTACGTTCTAATATGGCAACTATATACCAACTGCCTTCCAAAAGCAAACTTATTGCATGCACCAAAATTTTCATCGGGTCTCCCATGTGCCCTCTGTTCTCTTCCCTCCAAAATCTCTGCAGGTCAGGTCTGTGTTAAAACTGGATTGCAAAGGGGCTGGGGATTTAGCTCAGTGGTTTCACCGCCTGCTGCGCAAGTGCAAGGACCAGAGTTTGATCCCTGGAGTCACCCCAAGCCCCGCAAAAAAAACCACAAAAAACTGGATTGCAAATAGCACTAAATTCTCATTAGCTGACAACCAACTATCAGGACATTTCCAAACTAGATGGTTTTTAAAAATCTGAATACAATATATCATTTTAAAGGAACCAAAGACCCCTCTCCGATCTTTCTGCAGTTTTCCAAATGCACTAGGGATTTCCCCTGTAGACTAGCTCATGGGTGTTTTCTCTTCCTTAAAAATTTTTTTCATGCCTCTTGTCTTTGAAGAATTCCTAGTTTCTTTCATACTAGGCTCAAATATCTCCCCTTCCAATAAGATCCCCTTGCTTTTCCCAGATAGATTTAAGTGTTTCTTCTTCTATGCCTCCACAGCCATTAGTATAACCATATTAATATATGCAAATCCATCTTGGTGTTTTAATTCTATATTTTCTCATTTACTGCCCACTGTTGACTTTGAGCACTTTGAGAGCTCGATTGTATTTTGTTTTGTATTCCTAATACATACCGTACAGTTGATAATAAAGCAATTTAAATTTTAAAAATTATTTTAAAAATTTAAAAAGACTCTCTAAAAGAAAAAGAGTAACTTAGCTTCCCCCAAAGAAACAATACTCACACACATAAATTACATGAGCTAGTATATAATTAAGGGCCAAAAATAAGTGACGTATGTATTTAAAATGTGGTGCTTAATAAATAAAAACCAGAAAACTTAGGGATGATTCATTTTGAAGTTCAGTAAGCATTTAGTGAATGAAGGGGCTTAGATCACTGCTACTGAGCTTTAGACTTCAAGTTAAAATAACTTAAAATAAAAAAATTGTCAGCATGAAAAGTGTAAACACACTCATTCAAGAAAATAATATATTTGTGCTCACTTTGGCAGCACATATACTAAGAAAATAATATATTTAATCAGAGAAAGCCTAAAAATAGGGAAATAGTACTGGTTTCAAGCTTTTTAAGCTATGTATGTATTTATTTTACATAAATAGCTGTTTTACTAAGCAGTCTTAACTGAATGCTCATATATAAAACAAAGAAAGGAGAAGTTACAAGGCCTGCACACTTTTAGCATACCATGGCTTCCCCTAAATCATAGGTGTGTGTAAGGTTCTTTCAGGGATACTTGAGCCTTTAAAATCTAGTTTTAAAAAATCCTTTGAACTCACAATTATTTATATGACAAATAACTTCATTTGATGATTTGGAAGAGTATGGAATTTTTTAAATCCCAGAAGCTATCAATTCATAAAAAACAAATACAGAACACTAACCATTTATTCAGTAGACGAATACATATTAAAGGTCTATCAGACACTGTGTTAAATGCATATGACCAAATAAATGTACACCAATACCATACTATGAAGAATGTTCTTGTTCATGAAAATCAAAATCCCAAACTGGTGCAATAAACGTAATTAATTATCTTATATTTCAGATCGCTCTGAGAGTAAAATGCATGAAGAGGCTGAGAGGAATGAAACACAAGGGCAAAAAGATTTTTTTTAAAAGCTGCTTGAGATACATTGATGAAGCCACGAGCCAGGATCTGCACTGTGTCTTACCTCCATGCTTTGCCCCTGAGTGCTTGATGGCCAGACTTGATGGCCTCTTCTTCCTGGGGCTTCTGCACAGCCAAGAAATACTCTGATTCTTTTCTATTTCTAATCATATCATTTGGTTTTCTTTGCTTATTCTTTTCTCCTATTCTATAGTAATTTCTTTTCCCTGAAGCTCAGACTTTGGTTTATATCTTCATTCTTTCTCAGTAAATTAAGAATGTTTCGATGCTTCACTTAACAATACTATGCTGACGACCCTCCAGCCATTACCTCTTCCACTGTAATGTTGCCCATAAGACAGCCCTTGTGGATACCCCACTGGTACTTCACACATCCCAAACTCAATGTATCATTTACCATTCTGTCCCTACTTTTCCAGACTCACTCATAAAGTGAAACTCTCTATTATTTGGCACTGAATTCTTTGCATTGTCTTACTTTACATATCAAAACTGTCACAATTTTTGCTGACTTTTAAAACAATTTAATTAAGTTACCATTTTCAGTGTCTTGAACCTAGGGTCCATAACCATCTCTCACCTATTACTGCATTGTTTTCATCATGTCTTTTTGCTTTTTTAAATTTCCATGCTAACTTCTGTGTATGCTATAATCAATCACAAGTCGTAATCCACTGATTTAGGCAAGACATTAACCATTCCCCAAACTACTGATGACCCCTACAGAATGATCCCATCCTACTTGTAAAACTAGCCTTAACTGTTCAACAACTTGGAACATGGAGCATGCTTCATGTGGCCAGTACAATTATCTATCCAGCATCTATGCTTGTTAATGATTCACAGCTGATGGTCATGCTGTTTTATCCAATTAAACAATGTTTGCTTTCTCATTTACTTAACCTAAATTCCATTTCTTAAAGTAAATTTCAAATTACACTTTTTTTATAAGATCCTCCAACCTTTATATATAGATAGATAGATAGATAGATATGTGACTTTAATATTCCTGAACTCTCGTAAGCATTTTATGTGCTTCTTGTCTGCACTAATAATTTTCATTTATAATCTGATATACTGCTTTGCAGCTACTTTATCTTGTTAATCTTTCTCCTAGCTGCCTTTAAAAGGAAATTTACCCTTCTACCAGAGAGACTGTGCATTGGCAGAAAGGAAATAACTAGATTTTGAGAGGATTATTGGCTCTGAAACAACAGTAATTCCAGGAGGCTCAAAATATTGCAGTGGTTCACAAATTAGGTCAAGCGATCAATGGAATTTTAGTCCAACTTCATCTTATACAGGGTTCCCAAACCCATTCTTCGATTATTTTCCCAGTTCTTGAATGCATAATTGAAAGAAACATACTCAGCAACTGGCAGAATCACCATCGATATGTTTAATAAGAAGTGTGATGTTTCATTAGGAGGTCAAATTCTGGAAGAAAATCTTGCTATATTTTATAATATTATTTCTAAATGAAGCAAAGACTTTTGAAGATAGCTGCATTTTTCCAAATACTGACTGACTTCTCCTGATACTTATTTTACAAAAAAGATTATATCTTATGGATGGATATCATCACCCGAGTAAAAGATTTTTCTGACTGAATTCAAAAGTAATCCATATATTAGCTTTAGCTCCTTTGGGTTCTTGGATGACTTTTTTTTTTTTACCATATCCTTCCAAAGGTTCAAATAAAATTGAATTATGTCCCTTTATGAATAGCTTGACAATTACTCAGTTACATTCCCTGATATTAGCCTTTTAATTAGGTAATTTAAAATTCAATATCTTACCATATGTCAATGTGTTGAGGATTTTCTTTTTGACAATGAGAACAGAAGTACGTCATTCTGTTATTCTCCCCTAAACGACATACGATAATTTTGCAATGGCACTGACCACAATTAGGACGCTTGTAAACCTTATAGTGTTTAGAGATAGCAGATCCTGTTTTACAGCACTTAAAAAAAAACAAAGTTATGTACAAAAAAGTATTACTTCAGCGCCAGATATACTCTTGAAAGTCAACACTGAAAACAATCTGTTAAAACTTTACCTATGTTTGTACATAGTTTCATATAATATTTTCTTTCATCTGATAAAAAGGTATTGACAAGATTCAGTAATATCTATCAAAAAAGTTTGTGTGAAATAATTAAGTCATATGATAACGTGTCAGCATTCAAAGCTCTTTGCATGACTATCCTCTTATCTAAATGATATATAAAAGTTCTATATTTTAAAATATCTTTTTTATTTTTAAGTTTGTCTTAAAAACATAATTATTTGGTTTTAAGAAAAAGACTAGATTAGCTTTAAATGTGATTATTTTTTGAACACTGAAGTTTCTCAGTTTCAACAGCCAAAATAGTTTTCTAGGGAACAAAATTTAACACGACTATTTTCTTTGTTGACTTGAAAGGTTTTATATATATATATCCTTAGAGATTCACTAGAAAGAGAATAAAAATTCATGTAACATCCTACTAGAGACATGTTCCATTTTGGTATATGTTCTATTTCAAAAGATATTTTGATATTTTTCTATCACAGTTTTATTCTACTCACATACATTTAAAGCTCCTACTAAGAAAATGTTTTAACATTAGTACTGTGAAAATTTAAAAGTCAAAAACTATGAATCACCATTCATGAGCTGAAAATTACACAAACAATTTGTATTAATTTAAGCAAAGAACTGAAATACCCAATTTAATCTGGACAGAAAATGGACTATTTCCTGCAGTAATTTTTCTCCAGAAGAATAAATGAACCTCCAGAAGAATAAATGAAAAAGAACAGTTTTAAAATAGCCACAGTTATTCATACTCAAGGTAGATATGTAAACCAAGAGGCTCATTAATACTTTAGGTCAATTAATAAAGAATGTTACAAAATCTTCTTTTTAAATCATTAAAAAAATATAAAATGGAATCATATAGACAGCTTAATATCCTATTTCTTCGGTTAACATATCTTGAGTGATTTCCCTTTTACTACTTTCCTTCTTGAACACAGTAAAAGAATTCTGAATACAGAAAACAGACTGTGACAGAAAAACTTATTAATCATATTTATTTAAAAGTTAAAATGTGTTTATTGAATTCTACATATACAACTTTCAAAATTTACATGTTAGTAATTATTTAATTCTCAGAATTATTTGTTGTCAATATTATTATCCAATGTTATAGGTGAAGAAACTAAATTTAGTTTCATTTTTGGTACCAGGAATCGAACACAGGACCTTGCACTTGCTAGGCAGGCAAGGCATCACTGAGCTAAATCCCTGGCCCAAGTTTCTAAATAATCTAAATCACGGATAAGTGGAAAATTCTGAACAAAATCCATTTATTCCAATAAATTTTTTATCTCTTTATGGTTTTTATATTTTATATATCCAAAAATAGAGCAAGAATTTAGAGAAAATATTACCATAATTGTTCCCCAATTTAGTCTAAAGTTAATTAAATATAATCATACAATTAGGCAAATTTGGACTGACCTATGACCTAGAATTTGAAGATGTTAATTATGCCCATAAAATGTTACCCTTCTTTATTGTACCTCTATACTCTTACCACTAGATGGCTATATACAGCTTTAACATTTTTGGTGCAATCAAAAGGGAAACCATTGAAATTTAAATATTTGAAAATTTTAGTTCTTACCCTGTAAAAGAGAATGCTGAAATCACGTATCATCTTCACAAGGTGATGGGTCTGTTCATCTGTTAACTGAAAAATCTGAAAATGGAAAAATAGCATAATTTCATAATTTTTTACTGTAGGAAAATGGCACTTATGAGTTCTGTTAAACACAACTGTAAGCAGGTTTAAAATACATGTATATCTTCTAGAACTCTGCTTATGTATTTAATGTAATTAATTAGCTTTATTTTTATTGATAACATTGTATTGATAAAAATATCATTCCTCCTTGTACATTTCAATCCTAAACTCAAATATTTATTGAATGTTCTAATCAGATATCTTCAAAGCCCCAGCATTATCTACCAGCCACTTGAAGTCTTGCTTGATTTGAAAAAAAAACAGAAAGGAGGAAAAAGTAGCCACAGGAGTAGACGACCATCAAGGTCACTATGAAGCTTTAAAAAGATATGAATTTATATTCATGTGTTAATGTCAAATACCTGTTAACACTTTGAAGGACTCAATAGACTTTACTGAACAATATTTCTGTGACAAAGAGTGGTGTGAATCTGAGTTACCTTTGCAGAATCAATTATCATTTGGCCCATGTGCTTTCAATGGTAATTCCAAAAGAAATTTTCTCTGATGCCTTACACTTGTTTTTTGTGTTTGAATACACACACAAATTATCAGGGGTATAAAGTTGAAAATCATCTAATTAACATAATCATTCTAAAAGTATTATAAATGTTCAATTATTTAACTTTTAAAACTTGTGTATTTTTATTTAAAATGCTCATTTTAAAAAATATCTTGTATACATGGTAGGTCATACTTACAGATGCTAAACTATTACTTTTCCAATAATTGTACCTATCCTTTTAGGAGTCTAATGACTAAACTTCAGAAATATCAGAATTTTTAATTCTGCAGACATTACAGATAAATGATCTTTTACTAGATGAATGGCTGGCTGGGTGTACAGATTAAAAGTAAATCCTTAGTAATTACAGATAACACTAACACTGGGTTGTTTTTTAAAAATATTTTTCAGAGAGAGCTAATGATTTTTAAATGTTCATTCATACCTGGGCATGGGAGTACGTGTCTCTAATCCCAGTACTCTCAGAGGCCAGGGCAAGATTGCAAGTTCAAGCCCAGTCTGGGCGATTTAGTGACTTAGTACTAAAAATAATAATAATAATAATAATAATAATAATAAAAAACAGCCAAACAAAAAACTTTTTTCTGCTAAAAAATTGTTTAATAATTGCCACATTAAACTAAATTATTCCCAGTTTCAAAGAGTAGAACCTATTTCAAAACTACCAACTAGTTTCTGTAAAACCTTAATTCTTATCAATTTAGGTTTTACCAAAGTCATTTAGAAAGTACACAAAACCTAGAGGTATCTTTGGATGTACATTAAAAATAATCTAGTTAATAGTAATTATATAAAATAATTTAATAAAAATAAATTAATGGGAATAATTCGTTAATTGAGTTAAAGATAATTTAGTTGATAGTAACAGATCTGGATAAAAAGCCTGATGTGAATTCTTCATTGGAAAGTAAAATATATGTATTCTCTCTGCATTCAGTTTCCAATCTCTCTGACCTTTTCAGAACTTTATTCTATGAATCATCACTCCTTTTTCTACAACTTTAATATCTTTCTCTCCCTGTTCTTTTTTCCCTCACCAATATATAAATAAGTTCAAATCTCTCCAGCTGAAAAACAAGAGAAAACCCCAAAACCTACAAATCCATTCCCTGCCCTGGTGTTCCCTCTAGCAGTTTAATATTTCTGTCTTGACATCAATCTAAATTATGTGAACAGGGACACTAATTTTTGTTCCCATGTGCCTGCTGATTGCTTATCTCTGAGTCTCTGCTACCTGAATTCCAATCTTATCATCCCATTAGGACAGGATTTTCTACCACCACCAATAGCTAGAATAGATGAGTATTAGGAACACATAAGTATGTGTAGAGTATGTATTTAATATGCCAGACAGAAAAAAAAAAGTTGTGAGCTTCATTCATTCACATATTCTGCAAATGTCTGCTTCAAGCCCATAAAATGAAAAAAAAAAAAAAAAGCCCATAAAATATCAGACCCTGTGTTCTAGATATTTGGATACATCATGGAGCAGGACAGATTTGTGCTTTTTGAAGAGTGTATTCTAGCAGAAGGAGACACTTTTTTTGGGGGTACTGGGGATCGAACTCCGGTTTTCGCGCTTGCGTAGCAGGCGGCAAAACTAATCCCTGGCCCCTGGAGACACATTTTTTTTTTTAAACAAATATAACAACTAAATACATTGTGTCTGAAAGTTATACATGGTATGGAAAACATAGACAGTGAAGCAAATTAAGGAAGACTGGGAACGTGAAGTGGGAGGAGGGAGATACATTGCAGCTCTGAGAAGGTGCTCACAGTGGGCCGTGTTGAGAAGTCACATGAGCAAAGTCTTGAAAGACATCTGGAATCTGAGCAGAATGTGACCAAAACAAATTTAAGTTTGTTTCTTTAATATTAAAGACAGGAATAACTTAAAAATATGTATGATTTACCTTAACTGCTGGATGGAGACCACTATCAAAGAGAGCTTCATTTTTGATGATGTTCCCTACTCCAGGTAACACTTTCTGATCCAACAGCACATCACAGAGCATCCGACCTTTCTGTTTTTTAACTTCACTTTCTGCTCTTAAGAAACTAAATTTAGGTGAACACACATCTAATTCTTCCATCATTCTTATTCTCTGTTGGCTTTCCATTGAGTTTCTGCACAAAGGAATGTAAAACACATTAATCATAAAGTCACAGTGTCATTTGAAATGAGCTTTAATATAAATATAAAAACTTTATGTTAATGATGGTGTAAGAGTTCTATGGGTAAATGATGACCACCCTAACAAATTTCATTATTTGAAGGCTCCTTTACAATGCAGTTTCATCAATTATAAGCTATTTACTTAGTGATGTCCCAAACCAAACTGCAGGTCCAAGTTCTGAATATTCTTTTACCTGAGTTCTACTGATGAGTCAAAGAAACAAATCAAATCATTGGTGAGCTGCAGTTCAAAAACAGGAGAAACTCCATTTTTATTTTTATATGCAAGTGGATTAATCAGGATGGAGCCTTTCATTCCAAAATGAATCCTGAAACAAAATCAAACAAATTTTGAGTAGAAGTATATCATATATCAAAACATTTCCTTGGCTTCATTTTTTAGATATAAGCAAACAAATCTTAGTCAGGATAGATATTTTTAAAGGGCAAAAACTTGTAGCTAATATGATCATATAGTTTTCTCTTGTAGCTTTGTATCTTTATAAAGCTACAAGACATGAAAATTAGTTTTCCACCAACAAATAACTTCCTGGAGAAATAATAACACCCACAAATAAGCCCAGGAAAAAATATCTGTGTTCTTTCCTTTTAAGATGAAGTATCTTTTATTCATAGAATAGTCCAGCATCTCTCGGTATTTTCTGATTTAAAGGCTTAAGATAAGGCTAAGTTGCCTTAGTTTGTGCTTATAAACTCTTCAAAGCTATTAACTTTTAAATTCCTTATTTCAGACATAATGATTTAGAAATGTTTACTTATAGCAAAATAAGATCTATAGTTTAAGGCATTATTGACTGCTTTGGGATAAGCAATGAAACAATTTCCCACAAAATCCTATGGGGGGGCGCGGGGCGTGGAGGCCATGAAGAGAGAGAGAGTACAAGTCAAAATGCTATTGTCTTCAATTCTTTTCATTTTTTTTTTACCTTCATATGTATTGGGAAGAAGGGATTTATAAATCTTTACAGTTAGATTTAAAGTCACAATCCAGTGATGGAAAATTCATAACCTTTTAGATTGTATAGGATTGATTAGCATGTCCAGTTAAAAAAAGAAGTGATTTTGTGAGATCTGTGATGATGAAGATCAAAAATGATTCTCAAGATGAAATACAGTGTTCTGCCTTTCAAATCTGTCTCTTATAGTTTTGTTGAGTTAATAAATATGGTTCTTTTGGCAGCAAATGTTACTGCTGTGGCTTCTAATTCCAAAGCACCATGTTATAGTAGTATACAAGGTTAAACAGTCTAACTTTAAAAATGTGCATTTTAAACTGTGTGCCCTACTATCAATCATAAATACATTTTACATGCCCGATAGGTCTTGACAGGAAAAACGTGTGCCTGTAAGTACTCTATAACTTAGCTTTAGAGGCCTAGCCCCAGAGAAAGGTCTACCATTCTCATGCCCAGAAGCCATCCTATCTAAAATCTTTTCAGCTGCGTGGCTCACAAAGCAGATTCTAAATCACTTTCCATAATGAAACCACGTTCACATCAAAAATATTGAAGGTTAAGACACAATTCAAATGCAGGAGTAGCCTCAACAAGACCTATAAATAAAATAAGCATGTCTTTGTCTTGTAATTCTAACCATTTAGGGGGAAATGAACATAAAATAACTATCTTTATTTTATATTTATTTTATCAATAGCTAAATATTATAGCTTTGATAAACCAACAAATTTTGTGTTTGAGTACCTTTTATCTTAAAGTAAGAACATATCAGTATCATGAAATATTTCAAGGTACAGTAAGTATCTATATTGCTATAACACATTTTTTTATAGAATACCACATAGAGCCATATTATATTCAGGAAAGGGATTTTAACAGTTTTGGTTGCTTTTCAAGATTTCATAATTAAATCTACTTGAGAAAAATTTTATTAGATCCTTATTTCTATCTCTTAATCCTCAAATTCCTTGTACCTCCAATGAAATTGTTATCTGAAACCATTTATTCTGCATAATATAACTCTGCCTGCCAACTGTAGGTAAAGGGTCTAAGGGTAGGCATTAGGCCAAACCTGCACTGGTCACTCTATCCCTTCCTCGATCTTATGCCTTTGATACCACTGATTTAAAAATGGATCCCTTATCCTAAACTAGGTTCATCAATGTCCAAGCTGGACTCATTAGATTAGTTCCTTGATAGTATTGGAAAATCTCATACAGGAGCTGTGTGTGGGAATGTTACTATATGGGAACGGGCACCAGAGAACCTGAGGAAGGACTACATACAGAGAGGAAATCTATAGCAGATTTCAGTGGAAAAGAGCAGACTCAAAAAAGAAATGAAGACTGCCTGCTTCGCAAGCACAAGGTCCTGAATTTGATTCCCAGTACAAAAAAAAAAGTGAAATGAAGAGATTCCTGATAGTTTTTAGCCTTCGCTTCTAGCTCTCCTTCAACTCATCTGTATTATTCTGAGATTTCACAAGATATCCTATATTCTTATAATTAATAATTGAACTTGCATGAGTTATATTTTTGTCACTAGTAGCCAATGTTATAAAAATTATGCTCAAACTAAAACTAAATTCACAAGAAAACTCCTCTGGTTAGAAATAGTTCCTAAAAAAATATTAACAAATAAGCTTTGATCTCATTTTAAACATCACACTGTTCCAGGCTACCACTATTAGAATAATGTGAACATTCTTAAGCAAGCATAAATAGCACAGACAACAGCACTGTTGCAGGTACTCGTTAATGACAAACACATATTGCAAATAAAGTAATGACTTAGCAAAATGATGAAGTGGTCAGAAGTGTCCTAAAGATGATAAAGAATGTATAGTAATTGAATACAGTAATTGTAAAACCTATTCTGGGAATTCAAAAAAGTGGTTAAAAAAGATTCGGATTTAAGCATGTTAAGAAGGAAAAAAGGAGCCCTACTACTTAGGACACAGAAGGCTGAAAGTGAACACAGCTCCCACTCTAACAAGGAGAGAAAAAGCCACATTATTTAGAAAATCATGTATTTCCTTAAGTCTATCAGAGACACTAGGTCATAAAGTAATCAGGTGAGCTAAATTCCAAAGACTGGCAAGCTTCTCTGAGAAAAGTTAAAGCATACATGTTTATATCTGTGGCAGAACACAGGAGGAAGAGATGGCTACCATAAAACAAAAACAAAAACAAAAACAGGTAAGAAGGAAACAGCTAAATCCCTGCAATCCCAATCACAGGAGAGCACACACTCACGGACACCCCTAGGGTTGGGTATAGAGAGATGAATGAGGGCAGGAGAGCTGAAAGGACTGCTGTTTGTGGCATGATGCCTATCTTTATGAAACTCTGTTTCTTGAATGCTTCTCAAATAAGAAGCAAAAAATCTGAAGAAGTGGTAAGCTGTTGTAACCAAGGGAAATATAGAAACAAAAAGCCATCTATCTCTGAAGGTGGATCAAGAAACCTATGCCCACATCCTAAGCTTTATATTGAGCAACAAGCTTAAGCAGGCTGTCACAGGTTGAGGGTAGGAAACCTTCTGACACCAGGCCTAGGCAAAGGTTTGCTGCTGTTGAAAGCCAAGTGCAGCAAGTCATCTATTCCCTAGGGTTGGGCAAGGAGTTCTACAATGACACAGAAGAGAAATCTGCTCCCATTGGGAGAGAGGTAGAGAACTCTAGGACCCAACCAAGAACATCAGAAAGGCAGGTCAGAGTGTGGCTGCCATGGGGATAAGAGCAACAGAAACCCTGAGGTCCACATGGACAGGACCAACCAAGACTAAAGGAGGTCCAGAAGTAAACAAGAACCTCCATTCTCATGAGCCTCTTGCTGAGTAACTAAGTAAGGGTGGTCGACTACCAGGAAAGGGCTAGAATGGAGATTTCATCTTTGACATGTATATCAGGGTCAGCAGAGAGTGAAGTAGGAACATGAAGAAGCCATCTATAGATGCCTGAGGACAGCACTAAACAGAGCAGCAGCAGCTGAATTTTTTTTTGGTACTGGGGATCAAACTCAGGACCTTCCACTTGCGAGGCAGGCAGTGGCACCACTGAACTAAATCCTGGCCCTGGAGTTTTGAAGTCAATAGCACACTAACAAACGCAACCACAACTCACAAAAACTGCTAGACTCACTCAACTCCTTACACCAATGACCTGCTAGATAGACAAGAATTATCATTTCTGAGCTTAACTATTATTCAGCACAAGCTCTTCTAGAAATGATGCCTGGCATTTAGCTCGTTTTTCTGTATATGATGTCTCGGGTTCAAAACAATGTAAATAAGACACAAAAACAGATTTTAAAAGCCCAATATAGAGAGAAAATAATAAATGAAAATAAATCTAAAGATGTCTTCAATGTTGGAACTATGAGACATGTGACTAAAAAGTAATTTTAAATTAATGTAAAATAAAAATGTTAATTTTATAGTCAATTTTATTATGCATCGGTCATTAATGTGTTAATAAGATGAAGTGATCTAGTACAAAGGCATATGAACAGATGAGAAATTTCAGCACAGAAATAAAAAACCTATATAAGAGATAAAGAATTCTTTCCATGAGCAGATCAGCAGACTGCATACAGCAAAGGAAAACCTAAGTGAACACAAATATAGATGAATAGAAATTATCCAAAAAAAGGACATGTTTGCTTTTAGAAAGGAAATACAAGAGAAAATATATTTACACCCATGTTTCCCATTTCCAGTGTTCTTTTTCTTTCTGTAGATTCAAATTTTCACCTACTATTATAGTGCTTATGCTGGACACATCTTTAATTTTTGTATGTTGTACATTTAGTACTGCTGAATTCTCTCATTTTGTTTGTGGTTGGTTGGTTTGTCTTTTGTTACACCTTCATTTTTGATAGATATTTTTGGTGGGTTTAGAATCTCACTTGAATGGTTTATTATCCTTTTGGCAATTCAAAGAGGTTCCTCTGCTGTGTTCTGTCTGCCCTGTGGAGTTTTTGATGAGAAGTCCAATGTATGTTTTTTACTTTGTTTCTTTGTATATAATACCTCTTTTTATGTAGTTACTTCCAGGATTTCTCTTCATGTTTGCTTTTTAGCACATTGACTAGGTATATGTAAAGGATATTTGGTGTATTTTTTTTTTTTTTAGATTCTTTGAATTTCTTGGGTCTAAGATTTGATAAAGAAAATTTTTAGCCATTTAACTCTTCAAAAATGTCCTGCTCTATTTATCTGTTCTGGGATTACAGCTACAAGTATGTTAGACCATTTGATCTTGTTTCATAGATCCATTAATTCTGTAAAATTCTTGACCATAACTTTTTCCAAAAAAATGTCTTCTGTTTTCACTTTCTTCTCTTTTTAAGCCTCCAAATACCTTAGAGCAGACTATTGTACCAATACCAAATCTATAGACAGGAGGGAAAAACTGCCAACCCACTTGGAAGCCAGCATTATCCAAATATCAAAATACACTAAGACACTAAGAAGAAAACAGACCTATGGGCCAATATCTCTTAAGAAGACAAATGCAAAAATCCTCAATAAAATCAATCTACTAATATATAAAAAGGACAATACATCATGACAAAGTGGAATGTATACTGGAAATGCAAGGCTCATTCAAAATTCAAAAATCAATTAGTATAATTGACCATATAAATAAATTAAGAAAATCAGTAGTATGATGATACAGAAAAAAATATTTGAAACAATTAATACACAGTCATAATACAAATTCTCAACAAAGTGGGAACAAAAGAGAACTTTTTTCAATCTAACAAAAGAGACATATGAAAAAATAAAGCTAATATCAGAGAAAGTAAGGTAAAGATATCTGTTCTCATCATTTCTACTCCTCATACTGAAATTCCTAGCTAGTATAATTAGAAAAAAGAAAGAAAAGACATAGAGGTTAAAAAGGAAGAAATAAAACCATCTTGATTAACACATGATACCACTGTCTACATATTAACATTTAAGATGTACTCCCCCCAAAACAAACAAACAAACAAACAAACAAGAGCTATTAGAATAACTGAGTTTAGCAGGGTGCAAGATATAAGGTCAACACACACACAAAAAATGTTGTTCCATATACTAGTAATGAATAATTGGAAATCCAAATTTAAAAACAGTACCCAGGGCCAGGGATTTAGCTCAGTGGTTCCGCCACCTGCCTTGCAAGCGCAAGGTCCTGAGTTTGATCCCTGGTACCCCCCAAAAATTAAAAAATAAAAAAAAAATAAATAGATAAAAACAGTACCCATTACAAGAGTACCAAAGCTTAATTTGATTCAAAATATAAAATATATCTGAAACCGAAAACTACAAATACTAATATAATAAATGAAACCACAGTTAAATAAACAGATAATACTGTTTAAATGGAGAGGAAGATAGTATTACTCATTTATAAATTATCACCTAATTAATCTTAGAAATTCAATGTAAAGCCAATCAAACCTCTAGAAATCTACAGAAAGCATTTTATAGAAACTAACATGTCTGAAATTTAGAAAGACAAAATACTAAAATAGTAAAAATCATCTCAAAAAAAGGAAAGAAGAAAGCCAGATGACTACACTATTTTAATTTATTTAAAACTACTTCAATTGAGATAGTGTATAACTGGTGAAAGAAGAGAAGCATAAAAGACACGTAAATCCTTTAAAGAACATGATGAATTCAGAAACAGAACCATATTTATGGTCAACTGATTTTCAACAAAGTTGCAAAGAAATGCAATGCAGAAAGGATAATCTCTTCAACAATGATGCTAGAACAATCAGATATGCACACAAAAAAGCGTACTTTAATCTTGCCTTGTACTATATGCAAAAATTAACTCAAAATGCATCACAATTCTAAACACAAGAGGTAACGATAAAAAAAATAAAAGTAGAAGAAAATCTTAGCAAATTTGTACTGGGCAAACATTTCTTTTTACTATTCACAAAAAGTATGAACAATAAAAGAAAAATTTGTACATTAGAATTCATCAACAGTATAAGTTTTTGGACTTCAAAAGAAAAGGTTAAAAAAATGAAGAAGAAGCCACACATTGGAAACAACTGCTTGCAAAACACGTATCCAAGGGGCCGGGGATTTAGCTCAGTGGTTCCGGCACCTGCCTCACAAGCGCAAGGTCCCAAGTTCGATCCCCGGTACCAAAAAAAAAAAAAAAAATGTATCCAATAAAATGCTGACATCTGGAATATGTACAGAATACTTACAACTCAATCACAAAAAGACATACCCAATACAAAGCAGAAAAACAGCATATCTTAAAACATAAAATATATAAATTTTATGTATAATTTAAAAAATAGAAATGTTTGTTTATATGTGGTAACTGTGGCCAGAAAACCACTTTCCAGAAGGAATGCTGTCTGACCCTTAAGGTCAAGTGGGCATGGTAAGTAAATAGAAGGCATTTACTACCCTAAAGTATATAATTAACTGTAGAGTCTTTATTACTTCAATTTCTCCCCACATGTTATATGACAGATTACACCAATTATAACAAAACTTTAAAAACTTTTGATAAGTAGCTTATGATAGAGTCAATAAAGATATTTTAGCAAAGTAAGAATGGTTGTATCATATTAGAAGTTCATACCACTTGAAAGCCAATGAAATTAGAAAACTGTATAAGCCTTTCTTGAAATGGCACAACTCAGAATCTATTTCATATATAGTTTCTAGTCTCTATGTATGCTAGTCAATCCTATAAATCACAATTTAGGAGCAGCAAAGCATTTTGTAAATAAATATTCATTTAAAAATATAGCTTTTAAGTGTTAGTCAAACATGTAACATTTTGACTGACAATGACAGCTTTTAGGGTTGATATGTTTGGTTGAATAGACATTGGTACTATATATGTACACACTGTACTAGCAATATATATACTCAAAGTTTATATAGATATAAATCATATGATATATATATATTTATCTCATCTTCTTTCACTATTTCTGAGTTTGCTCTAGTGTTTGTTATATTTATAACAAAGATTAAAAACCATTTTTTTTTTGGTACCAGGGATTGAACTCAGGTCCTTGCGCTTGCACGGCAGGCGGTGAAACCACTGAGCTAAATCCCTGGCCCTTAAAAACCATTTTTGTCTTGTTTTAGCTGAAGAGATACCGCTAAATTTAGCATTAGTGCAAGTATTAAACATATACAATGTCACAACTGTGCTCATAAAATAAAATGGATATAAAATAATTTTTAGTATTCTATGGAACTATTATGAGCACTCAGAAACAGCACATACTAATAGATATAATCACTTTCTAATTTGTATTTTTCTGAAGTGTGGGTTTTTACATTGCTCTTAGAAAAGACTATGCCTATATTTACTTTTGGAAACAAATGAATTTCAGATGATTCCTAGGTTGCCCCATGCAATGCACATATATTATGACTAAAACCCATTGGCAATTTTGGTCCTGAAAAGCTGGGTATGAAGGGAAAATTGGAAGAAATCTTTAAGCATGTTTCCAGCTATATGCTCTCTAAATGCAGACCAGTGTTGCAGATAGAAAATAGAACCCAGAAATGAAGGCAACATCTCCATCTCAGGCTCACAGACATGCAGCCTCACACAAAGATCACATTTCTTCAACAGAGTTATCCATTTCCTTAAGCATAGGTTGGGAGTGCAATTTTTTAACTTATGTTACATTGTGAAAGGGGCTACAGTTGACTTTAGGTTGCTGAATTCAGATTGCAACAGCTGATCTGCCACTGACCTTGAATTGTAACATACAAGAGTTGCTAAGGCTGCAGGAAATTGAAAAGAAGCAAGCCAGTGCAGTTTTTCCTACCCATACATTGAGATAGGTACTCTCCAGGGACAATACTAGTTCACGTAGTTTGAAGAACTGATTGCCCTTGTTTAGAATTTCATGGGACACTTACTGACAGTCCTTCATTGAGCAATGATCCCCTCCTATCAGTCGGGTAGAGAACACTGATAAAAACCTCCCTCTCATCCTACAGAAATAAATCTGCTCCCGACACCACAGAAGCAAGAACATATCAATGTTTTCAACTATTGTACATGTATTCCATTGTGTGCTACTCTGTCCAGAGGTAAGTTTTCAAGCACATCAATCTACTATAGCGTAATGTAACCTGCAATACATCATTACTGCATGAGCCAGTAGGCATATGCTGATGTTATCAATCCCAGACTAAGAAAAAACATGAAGTGACAATGTTGTCCAAGGACAGCAGCTACTGACAGTGAAGAGAGTATACCTCAAAGAAAAAGCAATTACATGAACCTGAAGTACTCTAAACAGGTGGTAGATGAAATTCAATAAATAACAATCAGAGCCACATCATCTCTGTGTGAGCATTATTCACCTTCAGTTAGAAGTACAAGGTCTAATAGCAGGTCTTTTCTTTTAAAAAGGTGATAACTATTTAATATCTTAAAGAAGCACTAAAAAGAATCAAGGAAGCAGAATTCATCTTTATAGTTTGCAATGGCTTAAATTAAACTCAGAAAAGACATCTTGAGATTCAGTAGGCATATTAACTCTTAGACCTTTTTCCCTTTTCTGCAAAAATTAAAATAGTGAGTATGCATTGTAATTACATAAATTCTGACAGTGTTTATCATGAAGTCAACCAAGCTAGTAGATTGCTTGTCTTTCTTTGCCAGCATATTAGCTATGAATTTCTGTAAGTACTTTGAAAAACTAGAGAACCTGTTATTTCTTTCAAAAGTTTTTGAATTCTGAAAGTAAGTCCCCAAATTCTGTTCAAGACTTCAGAGAAAGTCAGGAAAATATAAAAATCTAATGAGGCATTTAAACCAAACAAGGGCCTGTCATAAATATAAAATAACTGATGTCACCAAATGCAGTGAACATTTGATGACACAAGAGGAGGAGAGATTATAGTGTAAGGAGTTTGGGGAACAACTAAACAGAGATATGTTACTCTAATACATCTTCAGAAACTCTGGTAGCCTATCAATTTTTATAAGTGAAATAAATTGACTACCCTCCAAGTAACGATGGCATCACAATTTATTCTTTTTCTGGTGATTGCTTTCCATGGTGGAACCTCAACCTCTTATAAAGAGCTCTCATAAACATAGAGTACTTTCTACATGATTCAACATGACACCTGGTGAACTGCAAGAAAAAGCCTTCTCTACATCTTTAAATAGACAGTGATAAGATGTATTGTACAGGTTTATCTTACCGTAAAGCTTTTGGGCCAAAGAACATAAACAGCTCTTTCCCCAAAGTTTTCACACCACTGTACACATATCCATTAAACAGTCTCAAGAAATTCCGGCTGGAATCTTTACTATCTTTCAGTGCAGCAGCCTAGTAGAAAATACATACACATATAAACACTCACATACATGCAAACTCTAAACAAAATTATGGTTTAATTCCTAAATGTATTTGTATTACATGCCTGAGTGCATTCTGATGAGAATAAGGTCCAACAAGTCAAGTATTACAATCAGCTGTTTACATACATTTTGTCCAATTATTATACACTAACTTATGAAGAAAGAGGCCAAAAACATTAAATGAAAAAACAATAATTGGCAGACAATCAAAACGAGTTTGTTCCAGAAACAGATAGCTCCGCTTATAATGAAAAAAAGCACAGGAACTGTGGGTGTGGTCGCACATGCCTGTTATTCCAGCGCTTGGGAGGCTGAGGCAGGAAGATCAGGTTGCCATGAGTTCAAGGTCAGCATGGGTTACCCAGTGAGTTTAAGGACAGCCTGAACTACATAGTGAGATACTGTCAAAAAAAAAAAAAACCCACAGGAAAACAAGGCAAATGCTATAAAACTAACAAGTAGAATAAAGAATCTTCTATTTCCAGAATGATAGCAAGCTTTCCTAAAGGAGTATTCAAATAACTGTTGAAAACGATAGACAACATGAAAACAAAATATTTTTAACTGAGTTAATAAACTTTTAAGCAAGTAAGGCATAACAAGAGGTCAAAACCTAAATAAAAGTGGGACAGACTCTTGGGGGATACAGTAAGCAGGACCCTGAAACCAATTTTTACCATGAGGACATTTACTAGATCTAAGGAATGAGAAAGCTTCAGTTACCTTCATCTTGGGTGGGTACTGTAGATTAGATATAAAGCTTGGGGTCCCCTGAGTAGACAAATATAATTAAAGACCTGCCCCATTATAACCACAATGTTAAAAATAAAACTCCATTTCCCTTTCTCCCATCAGCCTTGCAAAACCAAACAAAAGAGTACTAGGATTACATTATATGTACTGAATAATATAAGAAAATCAAGGACATTATAGATCTACCAAGATACAAAATATAGGTTCTGTGAAGGAAAAGAAAAGACTGGCATTTAGCTTAGATATTGGTAATATTCTTTTCCTTAAATTGAGCGTTAGGTATACTGGTATTCCTTGTATCATAATTTTTTGTTATTTAGCTATTTTATAAATATTATGTAATTTACACCCTAAATTTAATAAAAATGTGAAACTTATAAATCTACAATTCTTAGGTAAAATAAAATAAGTACATATAATTATATCCATAGATTTACACTTAATTCAAGGTGACATCTTGCCTCTAACTTGCTTGCCATTTTTCTCTAAGGCCCTGAGGATCCTGAAGATAAACCAGTAGAAATGGGGAACGTAGCAGGAAGGCAATTATAAAGCACCTTTAGATACAGAGCCTAGAAGAAAGTCACAACTTCTCCTGAGCTTAAGGTAGAATGATAAGATTTTTGGTTAATAAACATTTGTCAATCTAAATGCATATAATGTGTCTGGGCTGTATTTTAGTAAATTGGTCCTTGTTTTGTTTTGTTTTTTAAAGATACCACAGTAGTATTCTTCCATTAAACCTATTTAAGGTTGTAACGATAATAGCTCATGCTAAAATTTTCCAATTGCTTAAAGTTCAGTGAACTTCAAAGGGCTTTACATCCCTACTTTGCATAATAAGCACTGTATTATTCATCACAGGCTTATAATAACTGATAAATACGTAAGAATTATTAAAACTGACAGATGCTGGATGTGATGGGGCACACCTATAAATAATCCCAGCTACAAAGAAGGCTGAGGCATAAGGATCCCATGTTACAGGCCAGTCTGGGAAACTTAGCAAGATCCTTTCTTAAAATAAAATTTTAAAAGGTTTCAGGGTATAGCTCAGTGTTAAGAACTCTCCTAGCATATTTGAGGCCTTAGATTCATATCTCCTATACAAAAAAATAAATGGCAGACTTGCAGATTTGCTTCAATGACCAAAAGAACCTGTGGGAAATTCTAACATCTGGAAGTAAAGATACTTATGTCACCATATCGTCAGAACTTCTGCCTTGATTTCTCTTCCCTCTCTTGGATGGACTCGAGGGCCTAGCAATGACTAATAAGCACTGGCAAGGCAGGCTTGAGGTACTCAGGGGAAAAAACATACTTTCACATGTGCCCTGCTTTTTATAAATAACCTGTCAGAGTCCTGAATTGAGAAACAACAAAAGTCTTGATGCTTTTCAGCCTCACAGCAGACTTTAAGCCACGTCTATATACTTCAAGCCAATATAGCTTACAAGAGCAGGATTCAAGGTAGGTTTCCACAGCAAGCGATTAATATGTAAAACATTCTTATAAACTAGCCAGGACATTTTTAAGATGATGATACACAGATCAGATATAGATCTATTATGAGTAAGCTCTGCCTGATTATAGATGAGTTTTTGTATTTATAGAATCTCAGATTTAAGGTCTTACTCTCATCTTAAATCTTTATTTATACATTAATGGATCAGGGCTTTGTTTCTCCACCATTCCAGCATCAACCACCTCTTACCCTCCTTTCCTCAATGTTCTTCTTTACCAATGGGTTTTCACCACATTCTCTGAAGTCTTCTGGCTTCTGTTAGGCCTCCCAGCAGAGGCTGGGTGATGAACTTTATCTTGCTTAATAAATACAGGGACACAAACACTTTTACAGACACACACACAACAATACACATTCACACAACACACATTCATATATAGCAACTTTCCCTGGTTCTTAGTTGGAAGAGAAAAAGCTAATGCTGCTATCCCTATGCTCTAATTTCTGAGAGCCATTTAAGTTTTACACACAACTAACAAACTAGCAAAGGAGTCCCAACAGTTCCATGTGAAATCTGCTCATGTTGATAAAGTAACTGCTTTGAACATAATTTATATCATTTAGTTAAAAACTCTAGAAGCCTACAGCTATAACAACAGTTCATGTTTTCACTTAGCTTTGTCTACAACACAGACATTCTACCTGGAAAGTCAACCCTTTTTATTAAAAATGAGGCATCCATGGCTGTTTAATTAAATTAATTCATTTTGGAAAAGCTTATTGTCCTTCCACTATGCATCATGCTTTGTTCTAGAAGCTGGGGCTATATCAATCAAAATAATTAAAGCCATCCTTCCCTTATGGAGTTTATATTCTAGTAAGGGAAATGCATAGGCAATAAACCTAAGAATACAGTATTTTAGAAGATTTTGAAAAGAAACTGAGATAAGAAAGAGACCAAGATTGGGGGAGGGTGTAATAGGTTACAGTTTTAAAGGGGTAGCATCTCAGTGAAAGAATTAGCATTTGAACAGGTTTTAAATGAGAGAGAGAGAGCGCCACAATTTAATGGCAGTCCAAATAGGTCAGTGTGGCCACAGCATACAACAGAGTACTAGAGGTAAATGAAACTTGATATATAGTAGGAATCAGATTATGTGGTCCACAAAGTCTGATCTAAGGACTGGTTTTTCTCTGATAGCACTAGAATAGAAAAAAATGTGATCTACATTATTATTTTAAATATGTTCTTTAGCAGTTAGATAGAATTTTGGCTGAGCAGGTTGAGCGGGGAAAGCCAGGAAAGTACTTAGAAGACTACTGCAAAAATCCTGCCAAGAAATGAAGATTTGGACCAGAGGAGTTGGAGGAGACAGTGAAAATTGGTCAGATTTCTAAACGTATTTTGAAGGTAAAGCAAAGAATATTTGCTGGTGAATAGGATGGGGGAAGGAAGAGACAGTGATCTAACACAATCGGTTTTTGGCATGAACAACTGAAAGGATAGAAATGCCACCCACTGAGATGAGAAAGACTTGGGTATAACATGTTGGGAAAGAAAAAAACCATGGTATTAGACATCTGAAGGCTGAGATATGTATTAGAAACGTGTTGAATATGAGTCTGGATTTAGGAGAGATGTCTGGTCCAGAAATATGAAATTGTTCAACAATATGTAGAGAAATTGTGTCTAAAACTGTGACACTGGATGAAATAAGCAAGGGAGTATGTCTACAAACACAAGAGTCCAAGAAGTGAGGTCTAGGCCACTCCAATGCTATGTTGGTGGGAATAAGAGGAAGAGCCACCAAGGAATGCTATGATGCTAGAGAGAAGAACAGGAGAAAGTAGGAAGGGAGGAGATTGAGAAGGCAGTTAGCAATGCATGTCCAAAACCCAGCAAGCACGGTGTCCTATAAGCAAGTGAAAAACACATTTCAAGGAAGAGAGCATGCCAAGCATTGCTAACAAATCATGTAAAATGAACCCTGAGACTTGACCACTGGATTTAGCAGTTTAGTAGTAATTAGTGACAAGAGTTTCAGGGAAGTGATAGGAAGCAAAAACCTGGTTGTAGTGGCCTGTATCAAAACGCTGAAATTTAATTTATGAGGAGCACAGCTGAAATATCCCTTATAGCCAATGCTGAGAGGTAGGCTCAAAAAATATTTGTTTTCTTTTCCACAATTAGTCCATCAAGGCATCAATGGCTGTCCTGGACCAGACTACGTATTGCAGATTTGTCAATGATCTGAAATTGTAGGAATATCTAAATATGAAAAAATTGGCCATTTAGTTAAAAAAAAAAGTACCAAGATACAGTTCTTCAAAACTTTATGGTTACTGGACCACTATTAACAAGACAAAGGAGACAATATTGCCCTTGCAAATAACTCTTGTTATGAATAGAAGAAGGAGTCCAAAAACAGGAAGGCCAATATATTTAAAATGCATAAGACCGTTATATATTTTCACACTAATGCCAGTGGAAAGGGAATTATTGTCCTGGCTGACAGAGCCTCAAAGACAACCTCAAACCAAATTCTGAATATTGTAGCATTCTTTACTTGCTCTACTGGTGTTTTACCCTATTCTCCATAATTAAAAACACAATATGACATCAAAAACTGGAAACACTTACAAAATTGAAAATTCTACAAATGTTGAAAAGATGTTTATGGGCCAATAAATGTGACTATTATAACAGATGTTGGCAGAAAGGCAACAGAGGAATGATGACAGGTGGAGAA